TTTCAATTCTGTCGTCCGTGACAATTTCAATACATTCTCAGTCTTTTCTTCTCTTCGTTAAACTTAAGGGCATTTAATAGAAGATGTCGGACGTCATCTTCATAATTAAATAGTCCAGACTGCAGTTGAAGATACATATTCACCACTTTCATTTTCTCTCTTTGTATTTTACTTATCTCTCTATATATCTCTCTCTCTTGCTTTCTCGATGTGAATATATATATTTTTTTTTTTGGTTTATATAAGATTGGGAAGAGGGTATAAGGGAAATCAAATTGAAATTAAGGGTTGTTGTTGTTGGTTACGAAGAAAACAAATTTTCTGTCGTCTATTGATCTACGTTACAGTGAGCGCCTCTGTAACAGGAGTCATCGAGCGATGGTGTTGACTTCGGACAACAGAAAATAAATCCATCAAAACCATCTTTAATTTTCATCAACGCTTTAGTAAATAAAAGTAAATTAAGAATTTTAGTAGATACCGGAGCAACAAAATCATTCATCAATAAACGAATATTACATCGTATCGTTCCACATAACACCATACTAAAGCGACCGTATTCTTTTTTACTATCAGATGGTGTTGCACCATTTCATGTTTTTGGTTTTGTCAACGTATCTATTCAATTCGATAACTTTATTACTACTATTAAAGCACATATTGCTGAAAATTTATGCACAAATATGATTATAAGAATGGACTATATTAATAAATATAATCTGAATATAGACGTTAAGAAACAGATCGTTATTATTCAATCGAATAATCGATTAATTATAGTTCCAATCGTTAATCAGTATAAGTTCATTAAAATACCAGTTGTTTCTTCTACTACAGTATCACTTCCTCCTAATTCTAAACGAAACACATGTGTATCAATTCCTATATCATCTATTTCTTTATCATTTACTTCATTTTCTTCTTTGAGACATTACACATTTATTAAAAATGGAACCGAAATTCTTCAGTTTCGAAACTATCATTCTAATATTGTAATATTTAATAGTACGATGAATCCACAAATTATTAGAAAAGACGCACGTCTAGAATATTTATTTTGCTCTTTTGCACTTCAACATCCTTGCGTCTTTCGCTCGTCTTTATATCGATCACTTGAAGCTACCAGACACGCTGGTATGACTCCAGCATTTGGTGATTTCATTACAGATAGTAGTTCTAATAATGATTCATCTGTGTCATGTCATACAATTACTAAGAATTCTTATGACTTACAACGTTCTTCAGGAAAAGTCATTTCTAATTCATCACAGTTTATTAATCCTATTGTATTACGCCATATACACGCACTCGTTGAGAAAATTTCACATAATCAACAAAGACAAGATCTTTTATCGTTATTGATGCGATTTCACACTGCTTTCGATACAACAAAGCATAATATTGCTCGAACGCGTATACATCATGTTATTAATACCATTCCTCATTCGCCTCCTGCCAGTAGACCGTATCCTCAACCAGATACAGAAGAGGCAATGTATAAATTAATTCAAGAATTTTTGAAAGCAGGCCTTATCACAGCTTCACATTCACCGTATGCCGCTCCTGCCATGCTAGTGAAAAAGAAAGATAATTCTTTACGGTTAGTGGTTGATTATAAACGACTCAATGCCATAACTATTAAAGATTCTTCACCACTTCCAAACATGGAAGACACAATACAGAAGTTAGGAAAGGGATTTAGCTATTTTTCTAAACTTGATCTTAAATCAGGTTTCTATCAAATTCCTATTAATAATAGTGATAAAGAAAAAACGGCTTTCGTAACACCTTTCGGTTTATATCAGTTTAATGTGTTACCGATGGGATTACGCAATTCTCCTCCTACCTTTCAAAAAGTTATGACAGATACTTTGAAAGCATGTCGTCATTTCTGTCTTGTTTATTTAGACGACATCATTGTATTTTCCCAATCCTTTTCCGACCACTTAGATCATCTTAAAAGAGTATTTTCAGCTCTAGGAGCTAGAAGTTTAGTTTTGAATCCACCAAAGTGTGAAATCGCTGTTCCGCAAATCGATTATCTTGGTCATACTATTAGTAAAAATTCTATTCGACCTATGAAAGAAAAAATAGATGCTATTTTAGCAATAAAGGAGCCGCGTACCTTACCTCAAGCAAATCGTTTCCTAGGAAGCTTAGGCTGGTACCGTAAGTTCTTACCAAATTTCGCTACGGTTGCAGCTCCTATACATGCTGTTACTAATCTTACGAGAGCCAATCGTCGTAAATTTAAATGGCAGCATGCTCAATCAGAAGCTTTTAAGGAGCTTAAGAGCATGCTCATCACAGAACCTTTATTTTTGCATTATCCCGTAGATAATCTACCTTTAATTTTAACTACGGATGCTAGTGATATCGGAATAGGTGGTGTTCTTCAACAAGAAGTGAATGGTAATATCTATAATTTGTATTATCATTCTCAGGTTATAACTCCTTGTGAAAGAAAGTATAGTGCGATAGAGAAAGAAGCCCTAGCCATTTATAAGTGTGTTCAGCGTATGCGTTCTTTTATATTAGGACGAGGTCTTATCATCATGACTGATCACTGTCCACTATGTTTTATAATGCAAAAGACAATTAAAAATGCGAGAGTAAATCGAATAACACATTTGATTCAGGAATATAATATAGATAAAGTTGTACATATTCAAGGTCGTTACAACTGCTTACCTGATTATCTCTCACGATATTCTAAAGAACAAGATGATGAGTTATTTGATATTGAATATGGATTAGGTAGCAAAAGTAATTCAATATCGTCTTCATCAATATCTAATAATATTAATTCGAATTTGTTAGCATCTATGACTTTAAGACCACGTAAAAATCAGGTCAAATACTTCGATGATTCCGTACTTATTCCAAAAGATACTAGTGCTTATAATCGATCCGATGATGTATCTAATTCAAAAAACGTATATACGAAAAAACTATCATCACGTATATCAAAAAATTTTTTCGATGTAACTAAGCTAAAAGCTGCACAAGATCAAGATAATGCGATACAAAACATCATTCGAAATCTCAGTTCAGCACATCATCATGATTCATTTGTACTAGAAGATAATATCCTTTATAAAATAATTTCATGTGAAAAATCTTCTAATCAAAAACTTAAAGTTATATATTTACCATCTTCAATGATACATTCTTTACTGCGAGCGTGTCATGACGATCCTATGTCAGGTTCTCATTTTTCTACAGACCGAATGTATTATAAAATTCGTAATCAATTTTGGTGGCCACGTATGAGAACCACCATTCAACGTTATGTCAGAAATTGTCGTTTGTGTATACAGTTTAATCTAAGTCGTAATAAAAAACATGGTCACTTACGCTCTATACCTTTACCAGAAGGACCATTTGCTTTAATAGGCATGGACTATTGTGGACCTTTACCTAGAACTCCTCGTGAGAACCAATATGTCCTTGTCATAAGTGATTATTTTACCCGTTATATAACTGCAATTGCATTGCCAAATTGTACCGCAGAAACAACAGCGGAAGCTTTGTTTAATGAGTATTTCTGCAAGTTTGGCATACCATCAGTTATACTAAGTGATCGAGGATCACATTTTCAAAATAAACTGATGGAAAATTTGCAAAAACTCATCGGGTATAATCATATTTATAGCACCTCTTACCATCCTCAGACGAATGGCGTTGTCGAGCGTTTTAACGCTACTTTTGTAGCTCAAATATCAAAACTACAAAATAGCCAAAGTAATAACTGGGATGAGTTCCTTCAGCCAGTCGTATTTGCTTACAATACAGGGGTGCATAAATCGACAAAGTTTTCTCCGTATGAGCTTGTATATGGTCGTCCTGCTAGACTACCTATACACGCACAATCGACACAATTTACTTTTAATAAACCTATTGACTATTTCGAGCAGTTAAAAAAGACCTTACGGATATTTCATCAAGCTTCTAAAGATAACATTTTACTTCAACAACAAGCCTCTCAAACATATTATAATCGTCATCGTCTTAATCCTCACTTAGCAATAGGAGATAAAGTGTTAACACGTATTTTTGGGTCACGAGCTAAATTAGATCCAAAATTTTCATCTATACCTAAAATAGTCGTTGAAACTCATCATCCAACGTATATAGTAGAAGATGAAAATACACATGTAAGATCACAAGTACATATAAATGATCTTCGACCGATCATGTCTTATTAAATTTTCAAATCTTGCTTATATATAAAATCATCTTATGTATAAACATCTTTCACTATCTATCATTTGTTATTATGATAATGGTTGTTGATTATGGGTATAATAAGTATTCATGTTAATTCTACTGACTGAAGTACGAAGATCAGTTGGATTAAATTAATTCTCTATTATTGAAATTATGTGTTACTAAGGCGCCATAGAAACACATAGTAATTTATAATCTTGAAACTATAAAATAGTAACGGATGATCGATATTTACGAAGATAGAATAAGATCTATAGTTACATTAAAAATAAAATTTTTTTTTAAATTTTATTTAAAATTTTCATCTACTAACATATGATTAATATTTATTTATTATTATTCTTTCATTACATTTTTCCTTTGTTTTTTTTTTCTATTTACAAAAATTAACATTTATCATATTCATTCAAACAACGTTCATTATATAGTTTACTATATTATTGTGTTAATTGATTATGATGTTTTCATCACCTAATATGCAAAAAATTTTGATAATGTCAGATAGTCATGGCAAATGCCTTAATTATCCTATTATTACAACTAATTATCAAATTGATAATTATTCATTTTCTGGTCTGCAATGGATCAACAATTATAATTCAAATTTATGTCTTTTTTCTTTGATCCAAAAAGAACTATTTAGTTTTTTATTGTCTACATCTTCATATGCTTTCTTCCTTATTGGGACCAATTCGGTACGAAATTATGTAGCATCAGAAATTATTGATCAAGTCGATCAAATTTTTTCTTTCATCTATTCTCAATATCCTCATTTAACAAATCAAAAACTGATAGTAACCACCTGCATTCCTTGTTTCAAAACTACGAAACGATTCCCTACTACAACAGCATTAATGAATAATATCTATCATTATAATTATTTATTATTCATACTCTCCCACAAGTTTAATTTTCTTTATTTTGATTTACATATACCAATCGATTGGTTGTCTTATGATATGATGCATGTTGGTCGTCGTTATCATAATGAATTTTCCAATCTTATTCTAAACTATATTAATAGTTTACCTGTAAATCAAAATATATCTATTACAATCTGCAATCGTTCTCCTGAAGCTATTCATAGACGAAATAAAAAACGAAATTTCAAGTTAAAAATGATTCAAAAAAATTTTACTTTACGTCGTGAAATTTCGTCATTATGGTCATATATTCATTTGAAAAAATTTCTTAAATATAATGGTATTCGATTTGGTACTTTATCTATCATGTCTAACCATATATTATATTTACGATTTAATAATATTTTTAATTTACGATCTGCTGACCATGCACTTCCTATGGACATATTTGATTCAATCCATTTCATTCAATGGCTTGAACATATTCGTTAAGCGTTTTTGTTTAGCTTCGTTCACTTTCCTTTTGTTACTGGTTATATATTATATATATATATATATATTTGTTTTGTTTATGGTTTATCATTCACGTTTATGTCATATCTTCCTTCCGTCAATCAACTTTGTTATTTTGACCACACCCATTAGGGTTGGTTCAACGTATGATTGAACCTTTCGGAAGGGGGAGGTGTTAGCGTCTGCAGATGTCGTTAACAGACGCTAATCGTCTAACACTGTTTCTTTAATCTCATTGTTTTTGTTCTGTTACGTCATATTGGTCAATCAACTCACGTGATTGATTTTCCAATATATATGTATATATATATCATTAGTTTTTCTAACGTCGTCATTCCTTCTCATTTTGTTTTTCTTTCAACTTCTATTACGTCGTTCGTCTTCAACGACTATTAAATATATTCTGATCAAACATATACCTGTTTGAACTAGCTACATTATCAATTATTTGATGTAAGCTCATTAGTATATTTAATATAGTAAAGTTCAGCTCTAAGTAATAACATCCCTTTAATTGGAGCTAACAATTGGTGGAGAAGTTAAAATACGTATAATCATTAAAAAAAAAAAAATAATAAAACAAAAAACAATTTTTTTTGTTTTTGTTTTTCTTTCTCTCTTCTTTTCGCTTTGATTTGGTTCTGTTACACATAGATAATCACCTTTCTATCGATATATCTAAATAAATTCCTTTTGTAGTTCACTTTGTTTCTTTAGTTGGTTTCTATTTCTCTTCGTTTAATACCGTTATACGTTGCCTAAATATTCTAAACATGTATAAATCAACATCGTTGGATTCGCTTAATTTACCGACCTCGAATATGTCAGTTTTGACATCTACAGCAAATCCAGCTATTCAACCTAGTGCGTTTTCTAAACTGACTCGTCGTGTAGCAATAATTCCAACACCTAATAGACCAGCTAAATTACAAAAATCTGATAAACTTCAGTCATCTATTCAGGAAGATAAACCTACTGATTCGGATAATGATCAAGAACATATTTTACTTAGTAGTAAACAAGATTCTACAAAACTATTAAATTTAGGTGATAATCAGTCTATTCATGAAGATCATAACAAAGATGAGGACGATGACGATAATCTATTTGATATATTCATTTGTGAAAATTTCGTTCCTTTTTCCGGCAAACAGCCGGTAGATCAATGGTTAGATCAGACCGAAACATTATTTAACAAATTCAAAATTTCACGTAAACTTCGTTTTAAAGCCGTACCGCTCCTAGTTAATGGTGAACCTAAACGAAAATATATTAAAAATCGTCATTCTATTACATCTTTTGATGACTTTTATGAATTTTTGTTAATGAATTACGACACAGGTTCTTTAGTAACTAATGCCTCAATAGCTGTTCCAGCTAGTCATAAGACGGAGATCGTAAAAAATTCTATGTGTGATGTCAAATCGACTGTAGATTCTACATCGCACGTTGCGAATACTACTGATTTTATTCAAATATCACAGTCATGTGTTTCTTGTTCTCATAAAGTCGCTACTGATGATACCACCAAATCTGATGGTGATGTATCAGAATCTAAGTCAACTGGAGATGTTTCAGTAATTGATAAGTTATCGTTAGATCCAGTTATAAATGATTTACGTAAAGCGATTGTTACAGATTTCATAAAAAATCCTAAAGTATTTCGTGGTAATAAAGATGATATAACCAAATGGTTAGAAGAAATCGATCATTTGATGCAAACTGCGCATCTTCCTGTTGCTAATCGACTTGATTTGATTTCGTATGCTCTCAGAGGAGATGCTCTTCAATGGTACCGAAATAACCGATCTACGTTAACTAGTTGGAATGTATTTCTTCAAGAAATTAAGAAAGCATTTACGTCATCTTTTTGCGAAGAAGTAGCTTTCAAAACTCTTGAGTCATATGCACAAGGTGCAAATCAGTCGGTTAGAAATTTCTATAATGAAGTTATAAAGTTGTGTAAACAAGCTGATGCTAACATGAGTGAATCAACACAATTGAAAAATTTATTAAATAAAGTTAAACCTAGCATTCAACTCGAAGTACGTAAAAAGAAACCGAAAACAATTACTGAATTTTTAGAGTATGCTAAAGAAGTTGAGGAATTATTACAACTATCTAACATTAACATCGATACTGATATTAACTATCATGGTACATTGACAGCTCCTCATAAAGCAATGACTACGTCTAATACTTTTTCTTCAAATTATTCTAACAAACCTAATAATAGATACAGTTCTATATTTCAAAAGGATTCAAGCAATAATCCAGTATCTTATTCCTATACATCTTATAAGTCCGATACAGCGAAACCCGAATGCATACAAACTCCTCATTCGAATTATCGTTTTCAATCTAAACAGTATGCTTCGACACGTAATAAACGCAATGATAATATTAATAATGGTTATCATAAGCAAAACAATATACAGCAATATAAGCCTATTGCTAAACAGATTCCTAAAGAAAAATCTACTTCACTTAATGCAGTCTTTTCATCGACATTTTCACCCAAAGATGACAATAGTTGTAGTACTTTATCATCAATTGTCTGTCAGAATTGTAATCAACTCGGACATGACGTTTCGTCATGCCGAAGTTTTCAGTAGTGGAGTCATCGAGAGATGGTGTTGACTCCGGACAGCAAGTTATAAATCCATCAAAATCATCATTAATTTTTATTAGCGCTTTAGTAAATGAACATAAGTTACAAATTCTAGTAGATACCGGAGCAACTAACACATTTATTAATAAAAGAATTATACATCGTATAGTAACAAACAAGGATATATTAAAGCAACCCTATTCATTTTTATTAGCTGATGGTCTTGCGCCATTTCGTGTTTTGGGTAATGTCAATCTAGCTATAGAATTCGATTCTCTAGTTACAACTATCGAAGCACATGTTGCCGAATTTTTATGTACTGATATGATTATAGGAATGGATTACATTAATAAATATAATCTGAATATAAACGTGAAAAGACAAACTATCACTATTGAATCTAATCATAAATTAGTCGAAGTTCCCATTATTCGCCAGACCAAATCTGTAAAAATACCAGTTTTTTCTTCTAATACAATATCCTTTTCTCCCTATTCTAAACGAACCGTGTTCGTATCTATTCCTATATCATCTGTGTCTTTATCGTTTACTCCATTATCTTCTTTAAAGCATTATGTTTTTACGAAAAATAAACACGATATTATAAACTTTCGAAATTATCGTTCTCATATCATAATTTCTAATATGTCATTAAATCCTAAAATAATTAGAGAAGGTGTGTGTCTCGGCTATTTGTCTTGTTACCCGAGCTTTCAAGGTACACGCGTCTTTCGCTCGTCTTTATATCGATCACTTGGAGCTGCCAGACACGCTGGTATGACTCCAGCATTGGGTGATTTCGTTACAGATAGTAGTTCTACTAATGATTCATCTGCTTCATGTCATACAATTACTAAGAATTCTTATGACTCACAACGTTCTTCAGGAAAAGTCATTTCTAATTCACCACAGTTTATTAATTCTATTGTATTACAACATATACACGCACTTGTTGAGAAAATTCCACATACTCAACAAAGACAAAGTCTTTTATCGTTATTGATGCGATTTCACACTGCTTTCGATACAACAAATCATAATATTGCTCGAACTCGTATACATCATGTTATTAATACCATTCCTCATTCGCCTCCTGCCAGTAGACCGTATCCTCAACCAGATACAGAAGAGGCAATGTATAAATTAATGCCAGAATTTTTGAAAGCAGGCCTTATCAGAGCTTC